CCACGTGGGCCAGTCCGATCCGGCATTGGGATCCCACAGCCATCTCATCAGCATCATAAGCCTCCTCAAAACACATCCAGAGAAATCTCGACTCGAACTTACCGTCAGATACTTTGAGGAGAGATTGAAGAAGGAAGGCAATGAAAGTTCAGGTCCCGCACAAAGCGATCGAGACAGAGCCCTCAACATCGGCGCCCGCATCACAGTCATGACCCCACCATCAGCCCAGGGGCATTGGGATGGACTTCTCGAAACAGGCACTCGGCCGTTGGTATGGCATGGCGATAGGTCTCTGCACGACTTCGTCAACACAGCTTTCCCCAAGAAAATCCACCCGGCCCTCGATATCGACATAGAAACAGCCTCATCCGCCAAGATCGACATTCACTCCATCACCGCCGAACGAGCAAAACGAGTGGCACGTCTAAAGCTCATCCCCACGGACGACTTGCGAGACCATCTGCTCCTGGATGAGAAAGCTGGGACATTGTCCATCTTTCACTACACCAGCGTTCTGAAAGAGCATCTACTCGCCGCGGAGCGTCAATACCACCATGATCAAAACCAACCCCACGGCCAACAACAACGATCACCACCGTCCCACAAACTCAAACAATCCCCCCTCCTACCACATCAACTAGCCCTCGAGACCCTCCTGACCCTCAAAGAAATCCTCTTCCCCGACGACCGAGAATCGCAATCCATCCTCCGCACACTCGTCTCCAAGAAGCAATTCGATCCAGATCTCATCCGCATCGTGGACACCCCTTCCTACCTCTCTGCCGTTTCCGCACCCTACCAGTATCAATACTGGGGGAGCAGACTCATGGACTTGCACGAAGAGCTCGAAAATCCCACCCCACGGGGATTCTTCGCGACATGGCTGGAACGCAAGAGCGGTGCTCGGTACGTCATGATGGCTACGCTGGCGGGTGTGGGGATTGCGGTCCTACTAGGGATACTGGGTCTGGCCGTGGGAATTTTTCAGGCGTGGGTTGCGTGGCAGCAGTGGAAGCACCCTGTTATATCAGACTGACGACCGTATACCTGGCAGGTACCTAGGTAGGTGGGTAAATCAGAATCAACCTTGATAGGAACTGTCTTAGAATCACGTCATTCTATAGAGGAGAACTTCTTCTTCCAGACCTTCGGCTGGTGATTTCCCACACTAGGTTATCCGTGAACTCCGAGAAAATATCCACGCACTGATCCCTAATCTTCCCAAGCATGTATATGACCCTCAGCCGTTCCCTTTTTCCCTTCGCGTTCCTTCTCCTCCCTCGAGATACGTAGAAAGAAAAAAAAAGATCAAGTCCTCAAATCCCCAACCATAGACGGGATCCCCGTCCTACCAGCCCCCCACTGCAGCTTTGGGTCTTTGCCTCGTTCCATCCCTCTGATATGGCCGGGGAAGACACTCCCCATCACCCGCTGGACGCCGCTTCCCTTGCGCCGGGCGCACACAAAACAAGTGATGAATAACGCTGCCAAAACAACTAACCCGACGACCAGGCCGATGATGCCGCCTGTTCCGAGGGAGTGGCCGTTGCTGCCTCGGGGTACGAGGAGGGCGTGGTGAATGAGGGGCGTTGGTGACATTTTCTCTGCTTTCTCTTCCTTTTTTGAGTATTTTATGCGGCGGATTGGTGTTGGATGAAGAGGGTCAGGTAATATTGGTGAGGTTGAGGTCAGTGAAGAAATCAAGTGGTGTTGATGGTCGGGCTCGTTTCCTGCCTGGCGCGCGATTGAATAGCCGCGATCATGAAAGAGTACCTTATCTTTTCACATCGACAAAACTGATATCTCTTGTTTGAATAGCTTTTGTAAGACTTCAATACCTGTCGCCGAAAAGTTGAGTATCAGAGATTGGAACAAAATGAAATGACGGCGGAAAGGCTTTGGCGATGGCCGAAATATCCGGGCTCTGCTCACCCATTCATAACGTAGGGAACTTTGGTCGTTTGTCCCTTGAATTGTGGCAGTGCAAAACTGCAGAGACACGCTGCTGCATGCACCCAACTCGGGCTAAGCTTAAACCCCGACTTATCTCCTTTCAATGTTTGCTGTCGATGAAGCACGTGGTTTGTTCACGGGACGGCCCCTTGTTCCAGGGGGGTAGAGGGTTGGGTAGCACAGGAAACATTGTCCGATCTGACCTATCACGTCTCATAGTTTCCGAAATCTCTTTGTGCTTTATCGTCACACCAAGAGTTAAATGAACCTTGTTATAGAATGAATCCATAAACAAAAGGTCTCTTGAATATTTTATCTTTTTCCAAGAAACTCTACCCATACTATCCCCTAAACGCCTCCTTCACCATACCCCTAAACTCCAAACCCAAAAGCAAATGAAGAAAAGAAACGTTAAGAAACCAACTCCTTCCCCGAAAACCCAATCCTCTTCCTCCCCAGATCAAAAACCGCCACCTGCGACTTGAGCACCACGTCTCCAAACACCGAAAAACCAAACCCCTGCGAGCTCTGCATTCCCCCGAAACAGTGCGTAGCGTTCACCCTGTTGTAATTCATATACCGTCCCGGCACCGTCCCCCTATACCCCCCCGCAAGGTAAAATCTCCAGTCCGGCAACTCCGCATCGCACGGGAACACCCTCCCCGCGAATCGCCCTTCATACCCGCTCCCTCTCACATTGGAGTAATACTCATCCACCACCTCCGCTGGCAGCAGCAGCAACGATGTCCCCGTGTCCGCAATAACTGTCAAAGGGTTCTGCCTCCTCGCCCGGCCAGCGACTTGGTAACCCGGTACTTGGAATTTCCAGTACTCGCTCCCGGGGTCAATGCCCGTGTACCCTATCTCTCCCAGAGGCAAATCATCAGGGATGTGCCCGAAATGAAAAGCCCCCGGTGCTTTGGCTTTGAGATCAACAGTGAATAAGGGCTCGTCGAGGAAGGGTTGGAGGTTGTCCATGAATGTGGGCATTTTGAGGGGGCGGGCCATACTGCCTTTTGTCATGCCTAGCCCTAGCAGTCCGGAGAGATAAGGGTCTTGGGTGAAGGTTGACGAGACAAATGTTGCTGCGCCGATACTTTGGGCGGGGACGGTTACTGCGTCAACACCGTCGCCGAGGGTTACGCTGTCGAGGTAGATCCTGCCTTCGGCTGTGGAGCGGTCACCATAGAGAATGCGCCAGGACTGCGTGGGGATGTGGAGAGCGGTGAGGGATCTGGCGGGTTGGTAGATGGCGTGGGTGCTCCTCTGGACAGGGGGAGTGGAGGAGAAGGTCCATCTGTTTTGTCAAGTTAGTGGAATGAATGGAAAAAAGAGGGAGGGAAAGATTGACAAGTCAGCAGAACCGGTGTCGAGACCTAGATAAACGGTTTGAGGAGGGTTGCCGATGGTGACGGGGGAGATGTACTCGTGGTCGATGCCGCCGGGGGGAGGGGCGGCTTCCACTGAGCCTCGTTCGTTTGCGCCTTTTTCTGGGGTCAGTACGATATGCCTGGAGGGTTGGTGATTGACATGTAATGAGGAACTCACTTCGGGTGATGTTCTGGTACATTTCATCACCGCTCAGAGCCTTCACAAGCCCCGGGGTAAGGGGAACTCCGAATTTCACGTAGGCATGTGCCATGGCGTGCAGTCCATTCTTTTGGGCTGCCTCTCTTTGCTTGTAGCGAGGGTTCTTGACTTGGCGGATGGTAAACTTCTTCGTTGTCCGTTTGGCGGGGGGCGCGGGTAGTATGGGAGAGTCACCACAGTCGGAGATTGAGTTCGACGATACCGATCTAGGTGAGGCAGTGTGTGCTCTTCTTCTCCGTCTTTTTCGCTGAGGCTGTGGAGCGTCTACTGGTGATGCATTTCTTGCATCTGGCAGTTGGATAGCGGCGTTGGCATCCTCGCTGAGGTACCCAAGCTGACCGTTTTCTTGCAGGCCAAGTCGATACGCAGGAGCCTTGATAGTGGTAGCAGTGGCTGTTGCTATTGCTGTTTCAGTGGCTGTTATTTGAGTGTTGATAACGGTTGTCATGGTGGTATATCGTGTTATTGTTGTGGTGGAGAAGCTGGTGGTCTCATCATCCGCCAGTGATGTTGCAGGCGGAGCCACCAAGGTTGTTTCTTGAAGTTGGTCTGGATGTCTTTTTGCGTGGGCATGTCGATGGTGTAATTGTGCTGGTCGGGCAAGAGCCGACTCTGAAACGAACAGGAAAGTCCCGATCGAGGACAAGATTGATGAAGTGTGCATTTTGGATGATTTGCTGAGCCTGCAGATTGATACCAAGAGATGATGCAAAACCAAAAGATCGCAGAATATATGTATGTCTATAAGAGTAAATTGAGCTGAAAAGAAGATGTCGAAACGCAGTCAACGTATGAGGTTGGAGCCGTGCCAACAGGAGGTCGAAGTTGTTACCAGACAACTGGGAGAATGGAAGCCCGACCACTCATGGTCCCAGCGATCTAGGTCCATACCTGGCAACATGCTCCTCTTAAAGAGTTGGATATGCATTTGCGCATGAGAGGGAGGGGAGGGAGAGAAGAGAGAGGCTGGTGAAACAAGTCAGGGCAGAACATTCTCATCAGAGACATCTACCGTGTCCCAGCCTGACTGAGGCAAACGAGAAGAAATTTCCAAGAAAATTACCTGTCAACATTCCAGTTACCTCCTTTGATATCAGCCAGGGAGGTGCCAAATGGATTCTTACCAGTCCAGCTTGTTCAGCTTCCTCTCATTTTTTTTGCTCCTGTTTCACAGATACGAACTGATTTAGATCATAACCAAGACACCATTGCATCTAGCTAGCCCCGTCGTTCCTGATTTACTGAGAATGTGTCGCCCGAAGTCGCCCTCAAAGGTAGGTTGGGGTTTTACTGGGTGATGATGAGTGGTGGATGAAGCCAAAAAGCGGCCGCCCCACCTAGTTGAGGATCTCACCGCATGAGTCAACATGAAGCTGAAGACGGACCAACCCAACAGCGCCAAAAAAAAACTCAATTCGAGTTGAAGCAAGTGGAATTACAAAAAATGCAAAAAATAAGGGCCAAGCTGGGGCTTGAACCCAGGACCACTTGCAATCTTGTAAAGATGGAATCAGAAATTCCCAAAGCAAGTATGCTACCACTACACCACTTGGCCTGTGAAGATTTGTTGGAGTTTGATGAACGGATATCCACCATAAGGGTATCATGATGCACTGCAGCCTGCACACATACCCCTTTTCTGCGAGTGCGTTGTACCTCAACAACTTGAAGAGTTTCCCAATCAGCCCGAACCACTTGCAAAGACTGAACCCAACTGCATGAACCGCGACATCACGCGGCTCGTGGCAGCTGTGGACGTTGACTTCCAGATCAAGACCCTATCACCGACTGCACGAATCTGTCATAAAGCAAAAAGGGACTCAATCACTCAATTTGTTCCTCAACTGCATATATACAGGGTACCAACCACCCAAAACCTAAACACTGCAAACCTTGACCGCACTCCCACCCTGCAACTCGGCAATCATATCATCGCTCGCCTTCTGCGAAATCATAAACGTCGACACGGCCGGGAACACACCCGGGATTCTCGCAAACGAACTCGCATCCACCACCCTCAGCCCACTCACTCCTCTCACCCGGAACTTGCTATCCAAAACCGCCATGGGATCATAATCCGCCCCAATCTTATTGGTAGAAGTAGGGTGGTGCCCAAACGTCTGCTTGTGAATCCAATCCACGTCCTCTTGCCCGCAGTACCCGTTCGCATCCGGCCCTTTACTGCAAGGGGGTTCCACCGTGGTGATTCCCACTCTCTTGTAAACAGTTCTAATCCACGCAACAGTATCCTTCATCGCTTCCAGATCCATCTCGCTGCCAGGGGCGAAGTGGTTGAAGTTGATCTCGGGAGTATCCAACGGGTCAGCACTCTTCAATTTCACCCACCCCTTGTCATTGACAGACGACCCCTTGACCATCGAAACACCATACGTATTCCTCGGTTCAGTGGGGACACGCACCGGGTTATCCGGCCAGAAACCCCTAAACATGAACCCCTGCCCGCCCATGAGGAACATATCCCTCTCTCCATGGGCCGGGTGTTTGGTCTTGTACATGGAGACCTCCGCCATACCAGACCCAGCAGATCCGGTCCCGACGATGGGCATCTCTTGGTTATCCATCAGGTGCTGCCCGACGCCTGGCAAGTCCTTGATTACGGGGATATTGAACTTGGCGAGCTCAGTCTTGTTGCCGATGCCTGACAGTAACAACAGCTGAGGGGAGTTGAACGCGCCGCCGGAGACGATGACTTCCCTACGCGCATAAGCGGTGCGCTTGGTGCCTTGGGCATTGGCTGCGCGGCGGTTATCCCCCTTGTAGATACTCTTGCCAAACAAAAACTCAACGCCCGTGGCGCGGGGTTTGGCGGCGGTACCCTCGCACTTGGAAGAGGTGTCAAACAAAATCTTGGTCGCCAAGCTGGTGAGGGAGACGGTCAGGTTGGAGGTGACTTTCTGTCCGTCTTGGATGTAGTTGCGAGACGAATAACGCTGGCCGTTGCCGAATTGATGGCTTACTTGGCCGTAGATGGAGGAAGTCTGGTCGCGGTTGGGGGTGATCTCGTTGGGATCTCTGGTGAGAAGAGAAGTCATGGACTGCCCCGAAAGACCCCAGTCTTGGGCGTAGGTCTGCATGACCTTGTTGCCGGACAGAGACCCGAGCTGGCGCTGCTGGGTCATGCTGCCCATGTTGGTGTTGAACCAGCCGTCGAAGCCGTGTTTGGCGGCATTGGCGGCGCCGCGGGTGGCGTAGTTGTTCTTTTCGATTTTTTGGAAGATGGCGTGCATGTTCTCGGCCCTGTATCATCATCAGTATTTTTAGTCAGAATGGGGGGGGGGGAAAGAGAGCAAACCTCCAGCTGTCATCACCAGTGACGTTGGCATGGTAGTTCCAGTCGCTGTCGCTTGGCAACCAGCACACCATGGCATTGATCATTGAAGATCCTCCCAGGGTGGCACCTCTCGGGTAGTAGACGCCCAAAAGCTCAGATCCCACAGGGGCACCGCTCTGGCCGACCCAGTACCGGCCCTCCTTGGTGCGCCAGGTTAGATGGCTGTAGGTGTTGTCTCTCGGGTCGCCCGCGGGATAGTGCTTGACGTAAAAGTCCCAGGTGACAGTCGGGGTGTATCGTCCAAATCCTTGGCCCGGGTTATCGTCACCTGCCTCGAGGATCAAGACCGAGTAGCCGGCTTTGGCAAGGTTGGTGGCAACGACACCGCCGCCGGGGCCGGACCCTACGACGATGTAATCGTATACAGCGCCATCCTTAGGGGCTGTCTGGGCGGTGACGCTCGTAGTCAAGAGGGCGAGGGAGAGCGCCCCCTGGTTCGAAAGGGAGAGCTTCATGGCGGCTTGGTGTTGCAGAACAACAGCTGCAGTGTTGTTCTCTTTCTTTCAGTTACCGGCAGCACCTGAGAAGGAGAAGCCCGGAAATCTCATTTGGGGGATGAAAGGGTATCTTTGTACTCTTACTTTCCTCAAATTATCGCCACGGCCTTTCCCCTCACGAACAAGTTCCAGGTAAAAAAGCTCGGAATGTTTGAGCCGAGAGCAACGCCATCAATACTTTGCACCAGACTTGGCGTGTTTTCGAGATATCATCCAAACATCTTCCCCACCCTCGGCTGGCCATCCGAAAGCGAGTGCAGGGTAATTTATTTTTTGGGGACCGCAAAACGTGTGGAGATTTGTTTGCCGTGTGTCCGGGAGTCTTGCATTGATGGAGAACAACGTGTGCAAGATCTGCCGCGTGTTAGTTGTTTGTTCCCTGATTAAAGGGGCCAGGGGAAGAAGTGGGGAAGGGTGCATTTCATTTACACTTCTGCCGGGAACTCGTCCGTTGCCACGGCCCTTTGCGCGCGTCACCTCTTTCTGTGATTCAGCCGGGAAGTCACCTAAGGTAGGTAAATCTTGATGATTTGTTTGTCATGCCACCGAGAACAATTCGCCTATGGTGAAGAGAGAGTCTTACAGGGACTGAACTCCAGCGAACTCAACTGTCGTCGTCTGTCTTGGAACGCGATGACAGGTGGGTTTTCTCGCTACGATATCCTTCTACACCGGGTATATGAATTTGAGCTCTGTGTTGTTAGAAAACCGTCAAGCAACCGGTTAGTATCATAGGTAGTGAGTAGCCAATGAAGTGAAGCAGACTTACATGCAAAGCAAGCGGTAACCCTGACCGCTGCTCGGGGTACCGACATACTCTCCTCGCTATATCTCCAAGGTCCCATCTCACCAATGAGCCCATACCTTGACAGTTGATAACCGGTACATTCCCAAACGATGTGAACACACTCCTGATATCATGGATCAAAAAAAATCAAAAATCTCTTGTCTGCCTGTCTTCTAATGAACTAAAGTGGGTATCGCGCTGTGAAAAGATCAACATCGCAGAATACCCAAGCAAAGAATAGTGGCCAAGTGAAGAGGAATGAACCCTCTCACAGTCTCAAAGACAACCGCCGATCAAAATTTGGGAATAATATGTTACCATCGATGCTGAAACCAGCTTCCCTTCCAAAAATATCCTCATAATAAATCCTCCACTCCCCTCAAACCCTCCCGTCATAACGCCATGGTCATAAGTTCGTTCCAATCATTCTTGGGATCGTCTGCTGACTAGTAGCCTGCGAAGAAGCAAGCTGGGAAGCAGAGCGCAGGGCGCATTCGTGAAGATCGAATCCAGGAGTTAGAGAATATCATCCTCGATGCCTGACACCTCAGGGTCGTCAGGGTACTCAGTGCCATCGTACTCCTCCGCGGCAATGTGCTGCTTGACAAACCTCCCATCGGGATTCAAAGCCGCGTACATCAGCGGCGTCATGGTCATAAAAGGACCCTGCCCGGATCCCGCAGAAGATACCTGCCACGCCTTGATATACACCAGCTGCCTCCCTGCCATCAGAAATACCATCTTGGGAGCTCGCTGGTAGCAGTACTTGAATGCACTGCTGGCTTTCAGAAGCTCCCACCAGCTGTAAGCTCCTCCAGTTTGGTCGCCGGACGCCATTGGCTGCATAAAAAGCAATGCTGTTCTAGAGTCAAGCTTCACTGGAGCAGACGCAGTGCCGTCGGTCGGCCCAATTTTGCAGTACTGGTCGTAGAGAAGTGCCACCTTCTGGGGAAAGGTCAAAGGGCTGCTCGAGTTCTTGGACATAGCCATTGACCAGTTGTTCTTTAGAACCTCAATCTCCTCCCTCAACGACGTTAAAATCTTCTCGAAAGTCTTAGATTCCTTGGATAGTTCCGCAAAGAGATCGTGATAAACAACGAGGTCCCGATCATAGTAATGGGCGGCGTTATCAGATCGGCTCTTGTCCTTGTTGTTCAGGAGACGATGGAGCGCATCCAGTTCCTTGTCAACTGCCGGTGCAGCCACGCTAAACTTGAGGTAGTCAATGATGTGACTGGGTGCCATCTTCTCCATCCATCTGTCGCCTTTGTAGGCAGGATCCGGGAGTTGGGGTTTCATGCCGTAGTCACGCTGCAGCCGAGCCCAGCACTCTTTGTTAAAGATAATGCCTTGCTTGCTTTGATCGACAAGTTTCCCTACCAGCGTGCTCAAGACAATAGCCCCTTCATCGCTGACGCTGTTGTTGACGTAGCACAGGCGCTCTTTGTAATTTGTGCTGTGGACGAGTTAGCAGGTCATTATAGAAACATATCCACCTGATGTAGGCGCACAAGGAATCGGATGGATCTTACCAGATACCCAAGTAGTTGGGCTGCATTGCAAACTTGAAACTCTTGCCGATCATGTCGTACACGGCTGCGTCCCGGTCTCCTCCGTGATCACCGATCAGGTCTCGAAACGAGTCCTCGTCTTGTGAAAGATACCGGGATAGGTCGGGCTCCTTGGGTACTTTCGAGTTCACGAAACCCGTACACAGAGGGATGTCCCAGCAGACCCAGGCCATATCACCATCATAGTCACCTCCACTGAGCATGTCCGCGAGTGGAACATCGCCCTTGGCAGAGAAGACGATAACATCTTTGAGCGCGTGCAACTCGGGCCGAAACACAGCCCTCACTTTCTGTATATCGCTGGGAAAGTGAGCTGGCGACCGTGCCACAAGAACATCACAATCGGCA